TATGATCTGGCCAGGGCAACTTCTTCTTCCTTCTCTTTTCTCCCCCTTTATTATTTATTTACTTATTTTATACTGATAATTTTAATTTCATATTATTATGTTTGTAACTCAATGTATTTTTTGTATTTTTGTATTTAATGGTAATTTATTATGTTCTATTGTATTTCAATGTATTTTATTGTGTTGTAAGCCGCCCCGAGGCTTCGGCAAGGGGCGGCATAGAAATGTTATAATAATAACAATCCCCTTTTCTCTCTATCACTTCTTCCTGCCCAGTGGGCTGCTAGAACTCTGAAGTGATATTACTGCAAGGGCATGTGTGGGTTTAGGGCCACAGATTATCCACCCTGTATAACAAAGTGGGCCTCAAGTGTCCAAAGTCTTCAAAGCAAGCAAGAGGCTGTTGTGGTTGTCACAGGTAAAGAAACTGGGCTTGACCTCTGTGTTTGCTCAGCTGCTGTTAGGTGCAGCACTCTTTTCTTTTCCTGGCACGGAATGGTAGTTATGCTTTAAATATTTACTGCAATTCTGTGTTGTAAAGTGGTAGGCCATCAATTTCTGGTGGTCAAATGGAAACAGTCTTTCCATTAATCCTTCTGGACTCCTTTTTTATCCTTAGTCTGCAACTGACAATGCTTAAGTTACTACCTGGCTTTTCAGGTGCTTCCTTTGCTTCGCATTACAGCTTGAAATATGGAGTCTTCTATATTTGTATTTGTATTTTTTTTCTTTTTAGTAGGGAAAGATCTTGTTAAAGACGGCATAAAAGTTTGGAAAATGGAAAACAGAACATTTTGTACCTTGCCTTGCTCTGTACTAACAGTCCCAGTCTGGTACTATGTGGAAAGGGGGAAATATTGGAAGTACTTTGATGCTTTCATAACTTAAGTAGTCCCAGAAAAACAGAATTGAGGATTGTTTTTGTTCTCTTCCACTACAAAATAACACTATCAAAGTTTTAAATTAATTAGTTCCAAATCAAGGGTGGTTCATGTAATCTTCAACCAGAATGCTTCATGTGTTTGATCTCATTTAACTAATGCCTTCACTTAAGCACCTGTTTTACAGTATGAGTTACCTTAGCCAGGGACTGCTTTGGGCATGGCTTGCTTCACCTTCAATTCAAAATCTTTATATGTTCCCACTTGACAGGACTGATTAAATTTACAGGCATGCTCACTGCTTCTGAGTCTGCCAAATTTCAGATCCCTACAGGTGGTTTTGTGCTGGGGGAATCCTTAATGTTTGTATGTTTTAAAAGAAGATTCACCTTAGACAGGCTTGACTATGTGGCTGAAGGAGCTGGATCCTGAATGGAGATTTCTGGGAAGCCTGAAGTAGAACTGATGGTTCCCCACAGAATGAAGCAGCAGCAGAAGACCACTGCCTAGTGTAGTCTACAGGATGACCTGCTAAAGCCCACAGGTTACAATCCCTGCCATCCCTGAAATGGACCTCCATAATCTGCACCATCCAGAAATTCCAGGAGCTGAGAAGCTACCATGTGTTGCAGCACAATGCCCAGCAATGCAGTATTAGAGACCAGCCAGATACTATTCAATACACTTTGATTCAGGTTTTGTTTGATTCAGGCCTTTCACACCTCCTCTTATCTGCTCAGACAGCCTCTCACCTAGCTGTTGTTATAAGTCATGAAGGGCAAAGGTCCAACACACAAATGGTAGGCTTCACCTCTCCAAGGACACTGTCCACGTCCTCAAGTACACACAGGCCCAAGATCTGACTCTTGTCTATCTAAATATTTCAGTATAGGCCTAACAGATGGTAGGGATTGTAGCCTGTGGTCCGTAACAAGCAATACTGCAGACAAAACCAGGTTATTGGCTGCTGCATCCTCAGAGGGGAAAGTAAATCCCCTTTTAAAGTGTCTGTGTAGAGGAGTTGGCCAGCTGCCCAAAGCCAGGTCTGCCCACCCCCTTGAGGTCTCCATTTGAAAGTGGAGGGGTTTCAAGTACTTGCATTCCTTCTCCTCCCACCCCTAGATGTCTCTCTTCAGCTTGCCTCTCTCTTCACTCTAAGAAGGCTCCACAGTTTCTCTTCTTTGGCCCAAGCCTAGTCATCCATTAATCACCACCACTGAGACTGACAGCTGCCCAGCCTTCTCCCAAAATTCCATGTAACATCTGGACCTCACTTGGAAGGAGGAAACATTCCTATGAAATGGCAAACAAAGACATAGGAGCTATTCAAGCCAAGCCTTTCACCCTTCTCCAGCGGATTTGGGGTTCCCTGGGAATAGCCACACCAGCCTCAGTTGCAGCAGGGCCCTCCGTCAAGGAGCTTTGTCCTGAGGCCAACGTCACTGTCTTCCAATTTGAGTAACATTAATGTTTATGTTATGCAACGCTTTACTAGACGCTTTATTGAAGTAAAGGCTGCTTTCCTCCCAGAAAATCAGTTTATATAAATCTGGGGTGATTTTCCATTAGTGAAACCATGTTGCCTTACACCTTATATGCTATGCTCCCCTCTCTCCATTCTTTCCATCCATTTTCTAGGCAGAAGCTGAAGGAAGTACTTGGAACAAAAGCCAGGGATTCAGATGTCACAGATGTTTCTTTTGTGAGAAACAAAATATTTTGAGATGACCCAGGATTTCTCAGTTATACATACCCTCACAAGTCATGGCAGTACACACCCAGTTCCCACAGGCGCAAACACAGCGGTTGCACTGCACCTGGGTCTCTGCTCCATCTTCGTATGTTTCATCTTCCAGAGCACATTCTGAAAAGAGGACAAGGGAGGGAATTAAGTTTGAATGTTTGAGTGGATTGCTTTTGGAGTACGACCCAATCATGATCCAATTTCATAAGCACCTTTACTTAACTTGCAGCTTTGCTGCTTCAGCCTACCTGTAACTGCAGTCAATTTCCACTGTCACAGTGCCTGGGTTGTGCATCTTTTGTGTTACCCAGACTCAATTCCAGAGTTGGGATGGGGATAATTTCCCGAAACTACAGGAAAATCTGTAGTGTGCTCTAAAGTTTCCATGCTTCACCATGGCTTCTCCAGACATCCAAACCTGGGATCCCCATTTTGCCATTGTTGGTATGGAAGCACCATAGACTCCATAGAAACTGCTTCTAGTCTTTGATCTCTACTGCCCCCAGAGCCCTAGCAACAGACATGTCATTGCTCACTTTATTCTTATTGGCCAAGTGATGTCCATTGCCCTGTTTACCTTTGGAAACTGGAAATCAGTGCAAAAATACATAGCGGGAGAAGCGGAGGAATCATAGCAAAATTGCTTATTTATAAACATCTCTGTTGGGGCTGGAGTGGCTGGGAAATACCACTGATGTGCATCAGAGGGGGAAGGGGGGAAACATACCTCAGGACTGCAATGGATCAGTCAAGAGGAGCCTGCTGCAGTCCATACACAGAAATAGGGAACGGACAGGGCTTTCACTTGCAGGGGCTGCCAGAATGCATGGCAAGGACAGGAGGATGGCAATTACACCGGCCAGGTAACCACGTCATTACCTGGCCAGTAAGTCTGAGCAAAAATCTGCATGCTGTAGAAACAGTGCAGGGTCGTTTGCTGTGCCGTGTGAAGCCAGCCAGTGATATCAAAATAGAAAGAGCTGTTGTTTTCTACACATTTGGCTTTTAGCAATATTATCAACACTAATGCTGACCAAAGATTACAGACTCAAAGACAGGGCAGTGAATATGGCCTAGATTTTGAGAAGTTCATACAATATTTACTTCTAGCCAAATATCATCCTGTTCTCTGTACTCTTTTAGGGGGTCCACCACACCTTGTGCAGGCAAGGAGTTCTTACTTTTTTCTGGTGGGTTGAAGGCTGGATTGAGGCAGTTCAAGAATTCATTGAAGCTAAGCTTCCAGTCCGCATTTTCATCAGAAAGTTCAATCAGGGCATCCACACAGAGTCCCCTGAAAGAAACCACAATGTAACCACAAGCCCAGGAGAGGGAGGCTCCAAGATCAGCAAAGCAGGAACAGATCATATTTTAATATCCAGATGCAGTCCAATCAATTCTCTTGGGGTTCCTGAACATGCAAAATAACCTCTCAGACTACAACTGGTGACAGGTAATTCTTCTTAATGTATGCTCCCCTGTGATCCAAAAATGTAAAGCAACTGAACAATTATTCTTTCCCCTGCTAGTTTAGCAAAACCTATAATAGTTGCTGGAGGCTGAAAGACACATTTGCAGGCAAATGCAAGTGAATAAGAGCACAGAATGAGAGACAAGTGATTTGTTAGCTTAATGAGTAACAATTTTACAAAGTTAGCAGGCGGTGAATGGGACTTATTTGGCTTCTTGGGGGAAGGGGACTGCCTTGCAAGACAAGAATATTTTGATATACTGATCAGATGTCTAAATCAAGACTTAATATAAATCCATCAAAAAGAAGCAATAATTAAAAGGTATAGAAAAAGAAAGAGAATTGCCTGTGATTTCAGAGGGCTCAGGGACATTCCATTTGTGCTGCTCATGCAATTTAAAATTGCTTTTGTTCTGGTTGTGTTGATTTTAAAATCTTTTCCAAAGGTGACTAAGGCCTGGTTCATATTGTAATGTCAAGCAACTATGGGTGAATTTCCCTATGAGGCTTTCCATTACAGCAGCAGCTGTCATCTGAATCTTTACGGCATAGCAGGAGCACACTGTAGATTGCCATTACAGGTGAACCTGATAAAGGTGGGTTGTTGGGTGTGTGTGTGTGGGGGGGGGGGTTGATAATCCACCTGAACCCTAAAACAACCCATCTTTACTGCGTATGCATGTAACAACTAGTCATGGCTTGAATATTTGAAATGGCAGTGACCAGTGCAATGACAGCCCACAGAGAAATTCAGTCATAGTGGAATCTCATTACCTGTGAACTATGTCAGCAGTCATAGTGGAATCTCATTACCTGTGAACTATGTCAGGGAGAACAGTGCTGACTCATCATTTTCCTTCCTGCTGTTGATTAACTCTCTCTCTCTTTCCCCCTGTGTGTGGGCTGGTTAGCACAGAAAGCAATTTAATTCCATGTGACTTACTGAAGCCATGAAGAGTTCCAGTGTGTGACAGTGGCCAGTTGGATTGCCACATCAACCGTGAGATCAAGCTGTCTTTCTCTTTCCCTCAATCTTTCATGTGCACTACACACACACACTTGCTTTCCCTTGTGTGAAGCAAAAGACGGAGTACCACAACAAAATCCTTCTCCTAAGTAGGTAGGAAAGCAGGTGAGCAGCAGGTCATAATTCTGAGTGGACAAATAGGAGGAAGGGAGCAAGTTAAGCAAATGCTCCATCTGCCACTCTTCTGCTTTTCATCATAGTCTCCAAGAGTGGTATACATAAGAAGAAAGAGTCAGGGGAAAGAGCCATACGAAGGAGGAACTACCCTTTGTAGCTGAACCTCATTTCTTGTTCATAAGCCCACCTGAGCAGCTTGTTGGTCTCTTGATTCACATAGGCAGTGATGTTGACAGCTGTTTCATTTTGTTCCACAAACCTTAGGAACTCGCTCGAGTCCAGGCGAGAATCCCCATCATCAAAATTCTGAAAGAACACAGAGCATCATTCAAGAGCAGCTAAAATGGCAACACTCTCCGCCGGAAGCTCTTGCCCTACCAGACAAATTCAGGCACTTGGCAACCAGCAGTCCTTAGCTTGTGGAGAGGCACAAGGCTTCAGAAATCCATATTCCCCCACCACAGGAACATGTAATTGGATGTGACCCCAGAGGAACACATACACCTAATTTTAGCAATTGTTCTAACTCTGTGTTGCTAAATAGTCAAATTCTTTTAATTTTCATTTATAAGGCAAGCTTTCACATCCATCATTTTCAGTTCGACTAATATATTTGATCAAATGCTTTTCCAGAATCCAAACTGATCAGGTCTGCTGAATTTCTTTTATCCAGAAGGTTAGTTTTCCTCTCATGGATTCTTCTGGTCTGATTCATCTTGGAGGTCCCCAATATGATAACCATGAGTACTGATGTGCCTTCAGAATCTACCTCTCATGTTCCCTGCACATCAGGTGCTTTCTCAGAAAATAAGAATGGTGGGCTGCTAGAGCCCAGCTTAATTTGAACCATGCCCAACTGCCCAGGGAAAAGAAATTAGGGTGCTAAATCTCTTTCAGCCAGAGGGTCTGATTCATTTTGGAGCAGCTCTTGGGGGCCACATCCCAGGGATGGGAGGTCCAAGGGCAACAGGGTGGAGCCAAAATGCCAAAACAGTGAAAACACCAGCCTGGTCTAGCTTAGAGCTCTTGCTGCCAGGCCTTAGGAGAGACATTTCAGCTTTTCAGAAGGGGGAGGGGATGCTGAAAAGCTGGGAAAACACTAAATACTCAGCAGTAAGGAAAAAGGGTTTCAGCCACTGGTTTGGCCCACAGTCCAGAGGCTAAGCATCTTGCAGGGCTGGAGGCAAGCTGGGGAATGAAGGGACATTTTGGCTGGGCACACATTTTGCCCGGTTTTGTATGTGCATGCAGTCTGTGTAGGCTGGCTTGTTTGCTTGCTGCTATGCAATGTGAGCTTTGCCTGAGGCTCAGGGTCAGGTTATGTGTGCGTAAAATGGGCACTTTGTTGTGCTTTGTGGAGCAAATATGTGCTTTGGCATTTAGAATTCAGACTCTGCCTCTGCCTTCTACTCAGTTCTGTGCCAGGTTACTTGTCTCAGGGCTTGCTTGCTTGCTTATTGATTGATTTATATCCTGCCTTTTTCCTACAAAGGGCTCAAGGCAGCTTACATCTCCTCCTCCAACTTATCCCCACAACAATAACCCTGTGAGGTAGGTTGGGCTGAGAGTCTGTGACTGGCCCAAAGTCACCCAGGTGGCTCCATGGCTGAATGGGGACTAGAACCCAGATTGTCTGAGTCCCAGTCCCATGCTCTTAACCACTATACCACACTGGCTCTAAATAAATATTTATTTATTTAGCTACATCAGCTTGCCTTCTAGAACAGACAATACGTTCTAGTGAGTGGTTTTGTGTTTTGAAACTCAAACTATTCTTCTCTGCCTTGTATTTAGATACTTGGGCATATTAGGTTTTCTTTAGCCTTACTCATCTGCCTTTGGGAGATTGGCATTTTGTAACTGTTCGTGTCCACCATGGAAACTATCTTGATGCAACCATTTTGTGAGACCCACCCCCCTTAAAATGCCAAATGTGCCTATCAGCCCCGAATCCTTTTGTTCCCCATAGCCTAATTATGGTTCTACTGCCTCATTATTTGCATTCTTGAATTATATTTCTCAAACTTTTAATCAGTTTCTGATACGAGCCATATTTGCAGCAGCATGTGACCTCTGAAGGCCATAGCAGATCTAAAGGCATGGTATTTTCTACCTACTGGATGAGGACTTGCTAAACAGGACTGGTTTGCGCTTGGGGTCTGAACTGATAAAGGCCCAATGTATTTTGGGGAAGAGGTTCTCTGCCAGATCAGATGGGTTTGGCTTTCTTGTCTCAAATAGCTCCCATCAGCATCTTAGCAGGCTTGCTCTTATTCTGCCTTAGTGAAAGGATTCTAACATTTCCTATAATTTTACTTAGCCTTTTTTTTTTTTTTTTAGAAGACTGAATTGCACATGACATCCAGAACCTCTACATTTCTCCCTTTTCCACCATGTTCCCAATTCCATATTGTTCTTCAGTTTTTTGTACAGATTTGACCTGCTTGTCTGTGATGAATGAGCTGTTTACAGCTGGGCTCTGCAACATTGTGCCCATGGTGCCCCTCTGAATCTATAATGTATTTCTTAAGTTTTTAGAAAAGTATTATTTTTAACTGGGAGAATGGCACACTGCAAGGGAAGGGCTGCTCCCCAGCACTAGCATTCTTCATATCCTAAAGCACTGTTTTGTGTTTTAAAGCTCAAGCACTTCCTTTGTCTTGTACTAGCAGTGTAAAACTAGTGCAAGTTGGGCTAGTTGTTTTGTTTTTTAATCTCACCAGTTTGCCTTCTGAAAAATGAGCATTTTGTGTCCATGCCCACTATGGCACAAGACTGTCCACAACATTCTCAAACGTCTGGATGTGCACACCATCCCCCAACAGTTGGTGACCTTCAGCCTATTGCTTTTGTCTACATATTAGATATATCAGCCACATAGCCAGAAGTGTGGCTCACAGCTAGAAGCATGGCTTCTAGATCAAGAGAGGTATTACTGCCACTCTGTATGACTCTGGTGCACCCACAGCTGGAGTGTTGTGTTCAGTTTTGGGCCCGTCATTACAAGAGGGATATAGCAAGGTTGGAATCAGTGAAGCGAAAGGCCACAAGGATGGTGGCTGGTTTGCAGGGAGGTGAGACTGAGGGAGCTGGGTCTTCAGAAGAGCAGACTCAGAGGGGACCTGTTAGCGACCTACAGGTATGTGAAGTGGTGTCACACAGATGTGGGTCATGACCTTTTTCCCCCTGAAGTGGAGGGCAGGCCACGTTGGGCAAAGCTCAGGGAACCAAGATTCAAGGTGGATGCCAGGAAGTACTTCCTGATGGTTAGCACCCCTAGGGTATGGAATGGGCTTCCATGGGAGGTGGTTGAAGCCCCATCAGTGAGTGTTTTTAAGGACAGGCTGGACATGCACATGGTAGGCATGTCATGAGTGGAGCTGCCAGAAGCCAGGGGTCATACCAGATGGCCCAGGAGACCCCTTCTGACTCGCTCTGTTTCTATGTTTCTATCTCTTTTTAAATATTGGTGGGGGGAACCGACAGGGAGAAATGTAGTTCTTAAATATTCAGAATTCAGATATCCAAATCCTTCTGGCTATGCAGATAAGGTTGGCATTATTATAGACAGAACAAATTCGTATAATGTATCAGAATAACAATGCAAAAAAGTTCTCATGAATGGTAAGAACAAATAAACCATCTCTATAAGCCAACTCTCTCTCTCTCGTCTCCTGCCATCAATACCTTGAAGTACTTGTCTAGGATCTCTGTGTAGTTGCTGCCTTTGGAAAACCAACCATCAGGAATGATCTCAGCTTCAAGCCACTGTATGACACGACCACGGAGCTCATCTCGGTTGCGCTGATAGCAGACAACTGTCAAGTGAGAAGAAAGTGGGAATATCCAGACAGCAATTGTGGAGCAAAATGCAAAGTTGGAAGAGGAGAGGCAAAAGACACTGAAGCAGTTATGCTTCCTTTCATCTCAAAGGGAAATGGACTCTTGAAATCTGTGGCCCGTCAGGAAGTATATACTGCTACTGCTCTTGAAGCACATGAGAGATCAGTCTAAATAAAACTGGACCTGATTATCTGCAGTTCTACTTCCAAAAGGCAGGAACAACAGAATAAATGCTCAGTTTTGTTCCTCTGTTTCATAAATGCGTGGTCCAGAAAAATAAAGACCACAGACAGGTGACAGTCAGTTACACAGCTCCCCACTGATGCTGCAACGGATACACCATATGCTGCTTGGCCTCGGGTATGGCTCACTTTTATTACTGTTGCTATTGCTCTTATTAAAGTGGCAAATGTTTTGGCCAAGATATCTAACTGAAAAAGAAGGACTGAATCAGGATGTTCCTGGCCCAGCCCTTACCCCTGCAGTGAACTTCCTAGCTCACCATTTCTTCCAGCCTCCACTCCCTCTGTCCAAGCACAGGGACAATAACACTGGCCTAACGTGTATTGTTATTACAAGGGCTAATAACCAATTTAAACACTATAGGCTGCAATTCTGTGCCCACTGAATTTAACAGGACACATTTCTAAGTAAACTCACAGGATTGCACTGATAGTCGATTCACTAAAATTAGAACTTGCAAGTTGTCCTGTTGTTAAAAAGTATAGTTCCAAAGTAAGAAACTTACTTTGAGTGTTTTTAGATAATATACGTGAGTCATAGCTGGCATCATCTGAGAGAAGTCATTACCTCCTCTGTCTAAAAGAAAGAAAGCCTCTGTAGGAATGGTGCTAGCCACCAGCACTTTTTAATTGGTGCTTGTATTGGAAAATAGGGTTTAAATGTACTTCGTGGTCAACCAAGGGACCTTTTTGGTCAAGCAGAAGTTTTTAAAACTAATCTAACCAATTCATCAAATGTGAATGATGCTTTATGGAATCTTACCACAAAATATATTCCCCCAGGGCTTATATTTAGTTCTAGAGTCATCCAGGGGTTAGGGGAAAACTCATCTGCAAATGAGAATTCATCTGCTAACTATAGGCAGGAAGACACACCTAGGGCACTATTTTAACCTGGCAATTGCCATTTTATGTGCATGGATAAAGGTTTTCATTTTAAAAGCACTGAGTTATCCTTATATTCTGTACTTGTCTCTTTGTACAAGAGAGCAAGATAAAAGATTAAAATTGAGCAAAGGAAGCCCAACATCATTTATTCTTGAATAATGTACATGAAGTAAATATGACAAAGACAAAGAATGTAGCATAAATTAATGCATATATTCAATTATTATAATTAATCCACAATTCCTCACAATTATGTGCAAACCAGATCTACAAGTGATACTGACAAAGGGACTATGATAGAGGCCATGAACCATGTAGGACATGGAAGATCCGTGTAACATTTTTCCTGACAACATTTGCATGTTTCCAGAATGCACAAGTATTCTGACATAACTTTCTACAGTCCTTCTTCCTGAAACTTGTTGAATTAAATGCCCATGCTGAACAAAGGTAACATGAGAGAGATCCCACAAAATGTGTGAGCATGGAAATTACATACTTACTTGGACTTGCAGCTGAATTCTTGAATTTCTTCTCTATTAACAGAAAGAAATAATGAAAAGTTGGATAGGAACTACTGTAACATTTTGTAGTACATGGAATTATTCACAAGAGAGAAGAGGAAATACGTACAACACAGTTGGTCTTATCCAAAACATTTGCAAAGCACAGTCGATCCTGAAGAGTAATGGGGTCTTGCCAAGTGGCTTGCTAGCCAATCCCCACAACCAACAATAAAATTGCACTCCCAGATTTGGATGACATGACAATTCTTTATGGGTCAAATGATCCCTAGAACAAGCCATGGGGTGTTAGGGTGGCTCATTGCCCAAAAAAAACCTTCCTGCAGTGTAGCTGTAGCATCACCTTTTCCTCATTTACAACTATGAGGTAACAGTAGCAGTTTTTGTTGCTTTGTTTTTGGTGTCTAGTCTGAGAAACATGGAGAAGGCACAAGAGTAGAACTAAAGAATTATATTACAAAAGGACTACTTGGAAAGCTATTAGGGAAAGAGAACAACAGTCTGATACTGGGGAACAAAAGGTAAAGTCAGGGAGGTTCCTGGTAACTTGACCTAGTTCAAACATACTGGATCTTCATACTGGAGATGAAAAGTGCTAGGTAGTCATGAACAAAACAAAATGTACCAGTACCCAGGAATAATATAAACCTGCAGTTAGTGAGGGAACTGCTTCAGGACTGTGCCATATTTTCTGCTACGGATCTCGTTGGCCAAATTGTGGATTAGCTGGCTGGGAAGTAATTGGCAGGTAGGCATCCCCATGTTCTGCAGTTATGTGGGAGTTACTTCCTTTAATCTCATCAATGGAAGTAGTACATACTCCCCTGCACCTATCTAGGGGCATTGTTGCCATTCCTGGCAATTTTCCATTCATGTTCTGAAGCAAAGTGGATCCTTGAGTTAAGGTAGTTGCAACAAAATGCAAAGCACAAATACACATCATCACAGAACCAACATGATTGAAATGCTCTGCAAGAAATTAGTGGGAGTAGGGTCTGAGTGCAGTGGGCTGGTACAGCTCTTGGAAAGGTAGCAATCTTTCCACTTCTGCCCAGACTGTTTGGGTCACTTTGCTTAGCAAAGCATGGCATATTTTATTTAATTAATAAATGTATATCCCACATCTTCAACTTGCAAAAGACTTTAGGGCAAGAAGCCATGTTAATGCTGTATAAATAATGTATAGTAATCAGACTAGCCAAAATACCGAAAACTAAGCAGCACGTCACATCAAAGCCAGTAACAGCAGCTTTATGAAACTAAGAGAAGAATCTGGAAAACATAAATGTGCATTTAAAACCATGAGAAAATGTTCTCATAGAAAGGGGCTAGTGAGATCATATGAATGTGAAGTGCTCAGATTTCCTGTTTGCACAAAGAAAGCCATCTGTGCCATTGAGTTCTGAGGTGTTCAGCTGTTGTTCCCCATCCTGCCCCCAAGTATGGAGCATGCCATCCACAAAGTTGTGTGGGGCCCTGCCCTCAAGACAATGCTATCAAAGATTGACCTTGCTGCAGAGGAAGCTATGCACGCAGGCCCGTCAGCCATGCTGGACTCCTCCACACTTTCCGAGGTCCCATCCCAACAAGGGAGTATTGTAATAATCATTTTGCCTGAACAGGGTGGCCTTCCACAGCCATCAGTGCCTTTAGAAAGCCAGCAGCAGTGCACAGAGGATGTCCCTGGGGGTCAGCAGGCAGCCCCTCCAGTTGAGCAGGACCTTGTTCAGGTGGATGACATCCCACCACCCCTGGTGTTTGGAGAGACCATGTTTCACATGATGTAGGGAGGGGTGACACCTGTGAACTTTAATTACATGATACAGTTCTCCCCTACCCCATGCAATTAACAATGTTAAATTTCTCCTCTAACCATCTCTCCTTCTTATATACTCCTTAAATTGGTGCCCCATTGTTCCTCATGAGGCAAGAATTTAGAGATGTTTCCATTTTATGGCTGCAACAGAAAGCCAGATAGCTTCCAAGATCAGCAGGGGAAAAGAGCATTTTACATTAAACTTCCAAAAAAAAAGGAAAAAGGGGCTAGAACAGGCAAAGTGAAGCACAGTGTTTCTTTCTCCCATAGAAAACTAAGATGCACACGGAAAAAGGTGCATTTCCATAAGATTGCTGGGCAGGTAGAGGCTTAGGTGTGCCACCAATCTCAGATATATCCACCATGTGCTCTGGGAGCCTGCCACAAGTAGAAGTGGTGTGGCTGTTGATGCTTGAGCTAATCAAATGAGCTGATGCTTGGTTCCCTGGTAGTTTCTGGATGTCAGGTGCAGTGCTTCACACCATCACCAATGAAATTGTGCACATAGCATGAAGGCAAGACATGACTAGCTATGCCACCATCACAGTGACAAATTAAATTAAACCTAGCACTAACCCTGTACAAACAGGGTGCTAGCATGAGCCCTAGTGTTGGCAGCCTGAGAAATTTTCCTGAAATGCTACAAGCGCTGTGAAACTGGCTAGCAAGATAAAATTGGGAGATGAGAGAAAAGTGCTGCAAGACTTCAGGGAGCTGGATTTTCTTCATGCTGTGGGTAGAGGTGCTGGAGTCATCCTGTATCGAAACCTTCACTCTAGAATAACCAGAAGTAGTTATAACCAGCATGATTTTGCAAGCAGCAGTAGATGCAAAGAGCAGGTTTATGCTGGTGTACCTGGCAGAAGTTATGGCAGAGCTGTCTCTCAAATACTGCAAAGGGGGCTTTGCCTTATACCATGTATATATTTTAAAATGTTATTCATGATGTTTTAATTTATTGTTGTAAGCCGCCCCGAGGCTTTGGCGAATGGGGCGGCATAAAAATGTTTTAATAAATAAATAAATCATCAAACTTCTCTGTTGACTTGTACTATATTTGTGTCTTTTCTTTAAGATTATACTTTTCTCCCTGGTCAAAAGAAGATTGCCCAAGCACAACTATGAACAATTCCAACAAGAAAAAAGTGTAGAAGGCAGCAGAGGAAGCCCATGTGGCTTCACAAAAAGTTAAGCAACAACCTGAAAGGAAAAAAGAACATGTACGTGAGCTGTAAAGAGGGCCAGGTCACAAAGGAAGAATATAATAGCAAGAACTTGCAGGAATGGCATCAGGAAGGCTAAAGCAGGAAATCAACTGAAAATAGCAAAGGATGTTAAAAGAGCAAGAAAGCCTTCTTTGGATACATCCATAACAAAAGACATGTGAAAGAGAAAGATGTCCAGCTACTATGCAGGTGGACAGCAGAGTGATAACAGATGACAATGAAAGGTAGAGGTGCTCGATTCCTACTTTGCCTCAGTCTTCTCCCGCAAGAAAATTCAACTATGCATTTTTTTAAACATCTCTATCATGGCTCCCCTCACTGACCATTTTTCTAAGGTGAACAGTCCCAGTTGTTGCAGCTGCTCCTCATAGGAAAGTTACTGCAGCCCCCTGATAATTTTCATTGTCCTTCTCTGTACTTTTTCAAATGCAATAATGTGAGACAAGCAGAACTGAACATAATATTCCAAGTGCGTTCATGCCAAAGAGTTGTATAAATGCAGTAAGATCTTGGCAGTTCTATTTTCTATTCTGTTATAATTATGCCTAGCATGGAGTTTGCCTTTTTCACAGCAGCGGTGCACTGGGTTGAATTTTTTTAAAGAACAGATAAATATACGGACATTTGGGTTGCCTTTGCTGAAATATATCATAGAATATCAGAGTAGTACAGTTGAAAGTGGCCAATAAGACCACTGAGTCCACACCCCTGAGCATTGCAGGACTTCAGATTAAAGGAACCCTTACAGAAGGCTGTCCAGCTGCATCTCGAATGCCTCCACTATGGAAAAGCCCATGACATCCCTAGCTTTTTGGTTCCATGGTCATACTGCTCTCACCATTGGGAATTTTCTCCCAATGTTCAGCCAGGAACTGGTTTCCTGTAACTTCAGCTGATTATTTCACAACGTGCACTTTGAGATGATCCAAGAAGAGATCCCAGCCCTTCTGTGTGTGACTACCACTCAAATGCTTGAAGAATGCTTTCTCCTCTTCTCAAGGCTCAACATGCCTTCCAGTCTCCCCTCACTGGGCTTGCTTCCAGTTCTCTGATCATATGTATTCCCTTTCTCTGAACCTTTTCCAGTTGGTCTGCATCTTTTTTAAGCTGTAGTGCCCAGAACTTGATGCAGTACTGGATGAGTCCTAACAGTACCGGATGTACGTAGTACTGGATGAGACCTAACCAGCACTGAGTAGAGGAAAACTAGTACTTTACATGATTTAGAAGCAAAACTTCTATCAGTACACCCCAAAATCATGTTTGCCTTTTTTTTGCAACCATATTACAGTATTTGTTCATTCGACTTGTGCTCTACCACAAAAGCAAGATTATTGAGCCAAATTTCCCTCATCTTGTAATTGCATTTGAATACTTTTTCCTAGGTGAAGAACTTGGTATTTATCCCAGCAAATTTCATTCAGCATTCCAACCTATCAAGATCACTTTGAATTTTGTTTCCGTCTTCAAGGGTATTAGATATCACACCTAATTTTGTGTCATCTGGAAATTTGATCAGCCTTTCCTGCACCTCCTCATCCAAATCATTCATCATGTTGAAGAGCACTGGGCCCAAGACTGAACCCTGTGGTACACCACTTCTTGGCTATCCTTAGTTGAGAGGATAAGCACTCACAGAATCTAATTCTGTAGCCAACTGTGGATTCTCCTGATCATTATTCCGTCTAGCCCACTTTTAGCTAGTTTGCTAATCAGGTTATCATGGGGCTCTTTGTCAAACATTTTGCTTTACACAAGATATACTGTATAATGCCCACAGAATTCCCAAAGTCCACCAGGAAAGTTACCCAGTTGTGTGGCCAGCGTGACTAAACACTGAAGTGTATGGAACACTGTTACCTTCCCACCGAAGTGGTACATATTTATCTACTTGCATTTGCATGCTTTCGAACTGCAAGGTTGGCAGAAGCTGGGATGGAGCAACGGGAACTCACCCCGTTGTGCAGATTCGAACCGGCGACCTTTCGATCAACCAGCCCAGCAGCACTGCGGTTTAAAGCACTGCGCCACCTGCATCCCTCCCTAATTATCTTACATAACATCAAAAGAACATAAGAAAAGTCATGCTGGATCAGACCAAAGGCTCACCCGGTCCAGCACACCATACACATAGGGATTTTTTGTCCCAATCTGTATTACTTTACACTTGCTTATACTGCACTGTGTTTGCCATTTTGATGCCCATTCTCCCATCTTGGAAAGATCCCTTTTGGTTTTAACCACCCTAAAAAGTTTAGTCTCATCAGCTTACTTGACTACTTCACTGCTTACTCCTAATTCCAGATCACATAAGAATAGCATTTAATGTTCAATTCTATTTAATAGTTTAATAATAGTATCGCATATAAAATACATTGTCTATATACAGATTGTTATAATTGTACTTAAGTTTCATGCAAGAAAATTGAAACATTTAATTTTTCACTTTTTTCTCTTTGTTCTGGTTTTGGTTTTGATTTTAAAATATGTAATACATTGAATGAATGAATGAATGAATGAATGAATGAATAATATTGAATGACAAGAGAAAAGTTTGGGATTGCAAGAGGCTTTGGTGGCACCTGCAAGCATACTCAAATTGGGTAGCCCCTCCAATCCCAAACCAAACCCTAGCACTGAAGCTAGTTAAGAGTATTTTCCAGATTGCTCACTGCAAGGTTTCACACAGCCATCGAGAAGATGGGAGTCAGGGCAGGGAGTGGGTGTCATTGTGACAGGCTGAGCATTCTCAGGAGAAGATGAAGGTTATTTCATTTCACATGCAGAATGCAGAGTAGCCCAATGCAAAAGAGGCCACTGACATGGTGATAGCTTGCCAGCAGTCACTTGCTCTGTGGTGCCACAAAACCTCATGGGTTATGGACTGGAGCCAATGAATGGGGCAGAAAACAAGAAACCACCGGCTGGGAAGCCACAAAAGTGTTTAGTTATCTGGTGGCTAATTGATAGGTTAACCTCAGGTTAGCCAACAAGCCATGGCTGGTCATTATGAGCAAACAGGTCATTTTCTACTTTGATTCAACTTTGGTTTATTTATTAGACTGCACACCAGGATTTAGAACTGGTGGGTGCTCCTATACATTTTAAAAGACTATATGGACAACAGAAAGAAGTTGAACAACACATTCCAAGTCTTCCTTAGATGTAAAATACATGTATATCTCAGTATTAGCCCCAGGAATTCCTTCAGTGAAGGCTGTTTTTATTTTGAATTGTTTTCAACAGACTAAAACTTCTGTTTTCATGGTCATCAAAATAATTAGCTCCTAACTGTCTCACTTTCTTGCACTCTCAGCTCTGAGGGCAGCCCAGCACCAAGTACAATGCTCCTTGACAGCAAGATTTGTTGAAAATAAGCATGAAACCCACTTGCTGCCATATTCTGAGCCCTGTGGCTTTGAAGCACTGAAATGGAGATCCAGCATTAATGTTGCCAAGCACAGTAGGGCAGTTTGTTGTTCTCTTCTGCCATCTCCCTTGATGGAGCATCCATTGCTCCAACGGTGCCTCAGTTCAGGCCTGGCTTACCTTTGCAATGACCATCATAGTCCACCTGGATCTTGGAGCCAGTGAGACAAGCATCACGATGCAACTCACAGTGGTTCAGGTATGTCTTGCCATTGCTGCCACAAACTGGCCTCTTGTGTGGTTTACATTTCTACAAAAGCAAAAGCCCAAGAAAGCAAGAAAAGGTGAGTTCCAAAGATGGAAGGAGCTGGACAGGGCACAAAGATCAGCACCTCACACTGACCATTTGTACCAGTAAGGTGTGGCACTAACCATTAAAAAACAAACCAGTGGTCCACATTATAGCAACCCAAATAAACTCATTTGTTCTAAAAGGCACAATCCGGAGCTGAACTCGCTAGGTCTTCTGTTGCAACACATTGGGTGTAAAACTTCCATTTTCCCACAGTTAGAGGCACAGGGGGCTTGCAAAAGGGATGGGAATTTTCTGCAGTTTTTCCAAGACTACCCAAGCAAGAGAAGTTTCCTAGGCTCCATCACTGTTTGCTTTTCAACAGTGACTGTTTGGACACCCACAATATGGATGTTATTTCCTGGGACTAACCCTGAACAACCCATGAAGAAAGTACGTGGTGGACTGCTGGGTAGTGAGATACATGCATTACAGGCTGTCATTACATCCAAACCCAGAATTGTGGGTTGTTTTGCCATCTCTCTCCAGCATTGGGAGCGCTAGTCCTTGCAAGTTGTCCTGAAGCACTTTCCATAGCAGTATGTACTAGAGGACACTGAGAAAGTCAGGGCAGGTTTCTTGCAGAAGAATGCTGAGGCAGTATGCTGAGGTCAGTATAGCGTGACTATAGCTGCTGAGTTAGAACGTGTTTCATAGCAGAATGTGCACACATGTTGTGCTGTTTCTCCTAGCCTAATTAGTTAAAGCCTGGCAATGGGCACAGGAGTCCACTCTGTGCAACTTTTCAAGAGAAGGCAGATGGAGCACTTATCCATCAATACTATCTTCCAACCACAGCGAATGCACTTGTTTTAGAGGCTGTGGGCTCCAGTGGGAGCAATGGAAAAGAGATGAAGAAAAGTTAGACAAGATAAAAAAGGAAGATGGAAAGAAGGGAAAAGATGTTGCTCAGCATCCCAGGGGGCAACATAGAATTTTAGTCAAGATTTTGCTGTGAGACAAGAGAACGTTTCAAATGCTGCTAGTCCTTACAGTGGATGAAAAGGGACTGAAAAGTAGGAGACAGCCATGCCGGGCATGAGCACAAAGGAGGTGAGTAGGGTTCTAACCTTAGTGTCTGTTTCGTTCCAGCATGTTTTTAAGTGGGTAACCTAAATTTGTGATTCACAGAAGCCATGAAGAAGAACCTATCTACTGTGTAGCCTGAATAAGGTATTTGTAAAATATATGAATTAAATTCACTGTGTGCTGGAAAAACTGGGGACTAAGACCAGAGACAGTATTAAAGAAGAATGTGAAATAAGTCCTATAGCAAAAAGAAAAAAAGCCTAAATGGATGATGGAAGAAACACTCCCAAACTAGACAGGCAACCCAAACCACCTACCAAAAGGACTTCCATCTTATCTGGATTGAGTCTCAGTTTATTGGCCCTCATCCAGCCCATTACCTCAGCCAGGCACCGGTTCAGTACAGCCACTGCCTCACCTGGATTAAATATAAATGAGGCAGAGCTGGATGTCATCAGCGTACTGGTGACTCCACAGCCCAAACCTCCTGATGATCTCTCCCAGCAGTTTCATGTAGATGTTGAAGAGCATGGGAGACAGAAATGGAACCCTGCGGTACTCCATGGCAAAGTTGCCTTGTTGCAGAGCCATAATCCCTCAGCACCACTTTCTGGAATCAGCCAAACAGGTAGGAGTGGAACCACTGCAAAGCAATGCCACCAACTCCCAACCCAGGCAGCCTGTCCAGAAGGATACCATGGTTGATGGTATCGAAAGCCGCTGAGAGGTCCAGGAGAACCAACAGTGATGCACTCCCCCTGTCCCTCTCCCTGCACAGCTCATCGTACAGGGCAACCAAGGCAGATTCAGTACCATAACCGGCTCTGAAGCTGGACTGAAATAGGTCCAGATAATCGGTTTTATCCAAAAGTGCTTGGAATTGTCCTGCTACCACCTGCTCCAACACCTTGCCCAAAAATGGGATGTTGGCCACCGGTCTATAATTGGCAGCCACCTCTGGGTCCAGGGATGCCTTCTTCGGGACAGGTCTGATCACCATTTACTTCAGAGAGGCGGGAACCCAGCTCTTCCTCAGTGAGGCATTGATGACTTCCTGAACCCAGGTACCGATCCCATGTTTGGCTCTGGTAAGCAGCCACGAAGGGCAAGGGTCAAGTAAAAGGTGGTAGGGTGTACCAGTCCAAGCACCTTGCCCATGTCATCAGGCCGCGACAACTGAAACTCATCCAACAATGATGGACCAGATGGCGCTCTGGACACTTCCTGTAGTGGAGTCGTATCAACTGTGGAGTCCGGCTTGTGACAAATCTGAGCGATTTTCTCCTTAAAGTGCTGAGCAAGTCATCAGAGCGGGCTACTGATGGTGTCACCGGATCTTTTTTTGGGCCAGGGTATATTAGGCTGTATACCACTCCAAAAAGCTCCACTGGATGGCACTGTGAGGAGGTGATGGAAGCGGAGAAGTATTGCTTCCTCGCCACCCTCACTACCACAGCATAGGCTCAATAATGAGCTCTTAAATGTGTTCGGTCAGATTCATCCCATGATTTCCTCCCCCTGTGCTCTAATCATCTCCCAGCCTGCTTCATCGCCCACAACTCAGGTGTGTACCATGGTGCCGAGTGGGCTCTGAATGATGGGAGAGGATGCTTAGAAGCGATTGTGTCGATTGCCCTGGTCATTTCCCCATTCCACAAATCAACAAGAGCATCAACAGTAGCGCCTGCTTTATCAACTGGAAAATCCCCCAGAGCCCTCAGGAATTCACCCAGATCCATAAGAATCTGGGGGCAGACCAGCTTAATAGAATCTGTACCCTTACAGAGGGAAAGGTCAGCACTGAGCTCAAATCTCACGAGGAATTGATCTGACCATGACAAAAGAGTTAAAATCAAATTTCTCACTTCCAGATCACCATCTCTCTGCCCCATCGAGAAAACCAGGTCGAGAGTGTGACCTCATTCATGGACTGGGACAACGATATGTTGAGACAGCCCCATGGCTGCCATGGAAACCATGAAGTCCTGAGCCGCCCTGGTCAGAACAGCCTTGGCATGGAGATTTAAGTACCCCAGGACCAACATCCTGGGGGTCCTCAACACCAAGTCCAAGATGATCTCCATCAGCTCAGATAGGGAGTCTGATGGGCAGAAGGGTGCATGGTACACCAGCAGAATCCCTAATCTGCCTCAATCACCCAATGCCAGGTACAAACACCCTAGGCCTGGTCTTGAGGGGACAGGAAACACCGCAAGGGAAATTGAGTCCCAATAAACAAGGGTGACCCCCCTCCCCTCCCTTCTAGGTGTGGCTGGTGCTGCATCAGATACGTAGGTGGGCAACACTAGGTAAAGGAGACATCCCCCTCTTCTCCTGCCCAGGTCTCTGTGATACACACCAGGTCAGCCCCTGCATTCATTATTAAATTAAATAGCCTTAAAAAGTGTTCTGCCTGGAAAAAGTGACTTTAGGAAAGGAGGGGCAGTGTCTTCATTGGAAGATAGTGAGTCCTGTGGCACTTTTTCACTTAAGGAAGCTGTCAAAACCCTTAAGCCAAAACCCATTGTTCAGGTACAATATTGGCCCAGGTGAAGGATAACATGTTGAAGTTAAGCCCAGACAAGACAGAAATCTTGTTGGTCAATAGAAGGCCTGGCTTGGGTACCGGGATTCAACCTGTTTTGGAAGGGCTTGCACTTCCTTTGAAGAATCAAGTCTGTAGCTTGGCCGTGATCCTTGAGCCTATGCTATCCCTGGATCTTTAGGTGGCAGCATGGTGTGCCTTTGCACAATTATACTTAGTGTGGCAGCTGATCCTGAGACAGTCTGATGTTGCAACTGCTAGCCATACCTTGGTTATATCATGTTCGGAATACTGTGAAGCATTGTATCCCTGAAGAGTTCCTGGAAATTTCATCTGGTAATAAATGTGGCAGCTAAGCTGTTAGCCAGTGCAGTGTTAGGCCCATATTTCAGTGCAAAGATTCACATAGTATAATTAAGGGAAGGACAACAAGGTGCACTTCATTGTCACTGGCCAGGCTAGCAGTCTCTTTTTTGATATTCTTCCAGCTTGAATGAACTTAACTGAAAGAGCCATTTTTGAGTTCTGATAGCGGGCCTTTACAGGGCTGCTAATTGGAGGTTCCCAACTGTTTTGTCTTGCCATGTTGTGCTGCCATTTACCGTGCATTTAAAAAATAAACTTACTGGAAGGGGAAGGTGGCATGCAGGCACCAAACCAGTTTGATACAATGGAACCAAACAGGCCCATGGAATTCTTGCACTTTCCTATATTTACAATATATTGGAATCACCTCATGGCTGGATTGGTCTTTTGTTACCATTTCACAGAGAAGCAGACATACTACAAGAACCACCTCTCAGGGAGATGAGCAGAGTGGCAACTAGGTGAAGGGCCTTTTCTGCTACTGCTCCCCATCTTTGGAACTCACTCCCTAGGGAAATTCACCTGGCGTCATCTCTATCTTCCTTTTGGCGCCAGGCAAAGACTTTTCTTTTTAGGATTTTTTTTAACATTTAGCCTGTATTCTGTGGCCCTTTTTAATTGTTTTTATAAATGTTTAATTCATTATGTTTTTATTGGTTTTTAATGTGTTTTTACTCTGTTAGTATGTTTTATGCATTGTAAGCCTCCTAGGAAGGGCTCAGCAATTATAGGCAGCGTATAAATACATGTGAATGTATGAATGCTGATGGCTGCTGACAAAAACAGCTGATTATTGTCACTACCACCACCACCACCAGGTGCCATAATCCACACCACAAACACAACACAAACTAACACTGTGGAGGAAAGAAATACAAACTATTGTGGCATGCACTCTTTGGAAATATGATATTGGTGCAATGGAAGGGATGTCTTGGGAAAAGACATGCAGACTGCACTGCACAAAAGAAACAAATGCGCATGAACTGTGGGCAAAACCAAGAAGACTGTGCAGGAAAGCTTCAAGGAACATATAGGAAACTCCGGTCAGACACAACAGTGCTCCCCATTTAGAAGGACTCGGCATGTTTTGCACCAGCACTCCCAAGGTTCTGCTGTTAAGATGCTGATCCACACCTTACCTCAATGCATAGACAAGTTGGCTCATTCTTTTCTGTCACTGCGCACTCCCGGCCAGCCCCACAAAATACATTGGCACAAATTTTGGACTTGCTCAGCGGTTCTTCCTATAAGACATAAGGAAAACATGTGGTTGAAATAGAAATACCAGCCTCATTCAGAAAAAGACTGTGGCTTCAGACAGGTTGTCTTTATATTTTTCCCATTATTTTAATGTTAATTGGTTTTAATTGTGGTTTTAATATTTAATCACTGGATGCTGAGCCATTTTTATTTTGTGCCTGTTGTAAAACGACCCAAGACGCTAGTAAAGGGATGGTGTATAAAAGCTTTACACACACACACACACACACACACACACACACACGGCTGTCTTTATATTTTATGAATGCTGGTGCGCGCTAATTTTAACAGTACAGATATGTAGTTTAGGCACCACAACACCCTCAGCTCCATGTTGCAAAGTCCACTTAATCATCACTTAATAAAGTGTGTATTTGTAGAGGTACATGGTAGTAAGAATAGCAACAACTTTCATAGATTATATTGTTCTATAATGGTTTAATTTTTCATTCAATCAGTGCTCTCCACTTATGCAAACTGGAAGGCCATAGGATAACCAGTGTATAAGTCAAAGAAGGATGTGGTTACCATTAATTTCTGTTTATGGGACTCAAGGAGGGACAGTCCCTCCTTCTCCAGGCCAATATTTTGCTTGTCTTCTCCAGTGGGAGCACCAAAGGCATGTTTACCTACCAGAAGGTAGGGCTTGTCTAGAGATCTGAGATACCCCTACTATTGGAGGGGACCAGCGTGATGTTGACCCTCTTCTAACAACTGGAAGAAGGGGGGCTACCCCCAATAAACTAATGTGCATGCCCACTGGGAATGCTGGAAACACTTACACCAGACTCTGTGGAGAGTGCCAAAACACTCTCTCTTTACCTTCTCCTGCTTCACCAGCTCTACCACCATAGAGTAGGATGTCAGCCCTGCCAGTAATCATGGCATATCTTGAAAAATACGTGAATTCCAGATAGGGAACACCATGGTTCAAATAAGAGAGCACATGATGAAGAGTGAGACCACTTTGGACAAATATTCAAAGAAAAGATATGGGAGGAACAGATTACCAGCACTTCTCTTTTCAGAACCCTTAGTTATTAGGTCTCCAGATACAAATATCCAAGACTAAATACCAGCACAACAGCTGTCCATTCAAGCTTGTGAAAAGCAAGTAGAATGGCTACAGAAAAAAGCACGAGAGGTAAATTAACACATATATGGGCTGGGTACACAGCTAGGACATTTGCTGCCACAGGCATAACTTCTTAAAGCCCATTTTGGCTTGTGCGACAAGCAGCATTTGTGGACAAGGAAGATGGGCCAGCTGTGGTGTGACAGCCAAATGTCCTGCTATAGAATCATAGGATAGTAGAGTTAGAAGGGGCCAGAAGGCCATCTGGTCCAGTCCCCTGTGATTGCAGGACACTAAGTTAGACCATCCCATTCAGATGACTGTCCTGACATTTTTTGAATGTCTCCAGCAAGGAAGAGCCCACAACTTGCCTAGGTAATAGGTTCCACTGTTGTGCTGCTCTGACAGTCAGGACGTTCTTCCTGGTGTCTAGTCTAAACCTGGTTTCTTTTAACCTAAGTCCATTGTTCTGTGTCCTACACTCTGGAATGATGGAGATCTTGTCCTCCCTCTTTGTGAGAGCCTTTCAGACACTTGCAGAGTGCTATCATATCTCTCCTCAGTCTTCTCTTCTTGAGGTTGAACATACCCAGTTCTCCCAATCTTTCCTCAAAGTGCTTTGCCTCCAGTCCCTGAATCACCCTTGTTGCTCTCCTCTGGACCCTTTCTAGCTTTTCTGCATCTTTTTAAAACTAGGGTTAGGGTAGTTAAAACTTGGGAGAAGACTGATTCAAAATAGGGCCTGAGTACTTCTGCCTTTTCTTTGTCATCTGTTATCATTGTTCCATCCATGGAGAGTAGTTGAACTCCCTTGGCTTTTGTCAGTCATTTGCTTTGGATGTATCTGAAGAAGGTTTTTTGTTTCCCCTCCCTAACCTTGGTTCATTCATTACTTCAGTTTTCCTGACATCATCCCTGCAGTTCCTTGTTACTTGTTTAGATTCTTCATTTTTAGCTTGGCCTTACGTCTGCCTCTTATACATGTCCTTTATTTTTTTACTTTTAGAGTCTCTCTTAGCTTTTTGTGAAGCCACATGGGCTTTCTCTGTTTTCTACTACTCTTCTTCCTTGTTGTAATTGTTTGTAGTTGTACCTTAAGCATTTCTTCTTTTAAGATATCGGACTCTTCTTTTTTAAAAATATACCACCCTTTTCCTTTCCTAGTGGCTTGCCATGGGACTTTATCCTCACCCTGAATTTGGCTGGCTTTTTTGAAATCTAGGGTACATGTTTGGCTACATTTAGTTTTAGCTTCCTTTATTATTGAGAATTCAAGTAAGGGATGCTCACTTTCTCCTAGAGTTCTTGTACCTGCTACTTTGTCCACTATGTCTTCCGTATTGGTTAGGATCAGGATGAGTAAAACCATACCTCTTGTTCCTACTTCTACTTTCAACTGGAGAAGGTTATCGGCAACACATGTTAGGAATCCCTTAGAGGGGCCATGTTTGGCAGAGTTTGACTCCCAAGAGATATCAGGGAAACTGATGTCCCCCATAATGATGACATCATGCCTCCGTGAAATACTGGCAACTTGTTTTTTGAAAGTTTCAATGTTATCCTCACCTCGGTTGCATGGATGATAATAGACTCCTGCTACTATACTCCTTTTATTTCTTTTTCCATTTATATTAATCCAGATGCATTTGATGGGATTACTGGTCTCATCTTCCTGTATTTCTTTGCAGAGATATGTATCTTTAACAAAGTGCAATTTTGCCTCCTTTTCTGTTACTTTTAATCTTTTTGAATGGGTTATATCCTGCAATGTTTGAATTTCATTCATGGGAGTCATCCCACCAATTTTCAGTTATGCTCATTGGGTTGTATTTGCCCTCATGTACTCAGAGTTCAAGTTCATGTTGTTTGTTTCCCATACTTATGTAGATAAGTCCACATGAATTATTCCCTAGCTTCAGTCCTACATTTTTGGGAGACTAGTGTTAGGCCCAGCTAGAGTTTCTTTCACTGTTGCAGTACATAATCCTTTGTCAGTTGATGTCACAGCCAGATGTACATCTTCTTCCCCTGTTGAATTCAGTTTAAAGTCCTCCTGAGAAACTTCATGCTGTGGCCAAGTACATCCTTTCCTTTCTTTGTAAGGTGCAATCCATCATTTACCAGCAGTCCATCTTCCAGGAAGCTTAGCCCATGGTTCCAGAATCCAAATCTTCACAGTTTCCAGGAATTCACAGGAAGTACCCCCCCCACCGGTATCTTTTTCTTTTCTGCAAACTAGAAGTATGGAGGAGAAAACTCTCTGGGCCCTAATGCTTTTAATTTTCCTCCCCAAGGTTTCAAAGTCTGATGTAATTTCCTAAAAGCTCCTGTTGGCAGTGTCATTAGTTCCTACATGAATAGCTGAGTTAGGCTGAGCTTTATAGCTATGAGTCAAATATGGTATCATAACCAGCAACCAACAAGAAACAATGAAGCTGTATAATTGAGCCAGTTAAGTACAGCTGAAACAGTCCAGCAAGGTGACAGTTCAAAGCAGAAGACACCAGCAAGCTGGCAAAGATCAGTAGTCACAAAGGAGAGTTCCAGGAGAAGTACCTGAGATGTGGGCATGGTCAACACACAGAGACGCAGTCCAGCACACGCACAGTTCAAAGGGAAGAATCTAGGAATCCAAAGGTCAGCAATGCAGAGGATCAGGCACAAAGTAAAGCCAGGCAAACAAAGTTTGAAAGCACTGAAGTTGACCAAAAGACATGGTTGTACCAAGCAACCATTTGAAACTGGAGACTTATGCTGAAGTTTCCAGTGCTCCACCCAGGACTCATTAGAGATTTCTGTAGGAAGTCTTCCAGATGAGGGTCCTACTCAGAAGAAATCCTTTACTCATGAGGTCTTTTACTCTTCAGCAAACAGGCAACCTTTACTTGGCAAAAGACTCTCAAGGATAGTGCCAAGGTCCTGTGGAGTAACTCTGGGGACTTCTGGCTCCAAAGCTCTTCCTCCAAAAAAGAATCCTTCAGTAGAGGTATGACATTTGGGACCATGACAACTAATGTAAAAGGAATAGGATGGGCACAAATTGGAAGCCCATGATAGAGACTAAGACTCTCTCTAAGCATCTGAGACAGTATTTCATGGGAGTACACCTTCTGCAATCAAACCACAAGACAAAATCACCAACACGGCAACCAAAATAGTAATAGTAAAAAATAGCAGGATTGGCAAATGAAGTATCAGGTCTCAAACAGAAACTTTAGCTTGTCACAAAAAATACACTAGACCTGCAATTAAAAAAAAGAATTTCAGAACAAAATAGATGTTTAAACTGCAGCTGCAAGGGGTCTAAAGATCTATTGATGGCCAGAATAGAGTTCTGAACTGTAATGAACTGTACCTATTATTCTCTGAAGGAGGTTATTTTAAAGGAGCTATAGACTCACCATTGGAAGATATCCATTGAAAAATACGAGGCAGGACTTATGCCCAAAGATTATGCCCAAATGGGGGCATTTATTCTAACTATTAACTGAAACTGCAAGAGGGAGAAATCAGATACAAATGGCTTCCTATTTAAACTCACTGTGTTTTGTGCAGACACCAGTCATCACCACTCAGAGGGAAACAAAACAACTATACACAGACCTGGAGGCAGATGTCTCATTTTAGGAACATGTGGAAGCCAAACTAGATTTGGACTAGAGCAGGCCTAAAAACATCTGGAGTAGGCCTTGAAAACAAAGGCATGGAAGAAACAGTACTGCAGGGAAAAGCAGACTACATGGGGGCATACTTAAGCCTCCTTCGGAGCAGAGCAGAGTGATTAAGCAACATGCACACGGACGGGGCATGAGAGAAGGTCTTCAATTTGTTTATTTAGACTTTAAATCACCCCAGTAACAGAAATTCTCTGGGTAGATCACAATTTCTAAAACAATAAATTACAATGTA